CCCAGCCTCTCCGAGACACTGTTTCAGCGACTGCAGACCATGGACACCAGCGGGTGAGTTCCTGTGGCAGGTCCCCTCGGCCCCGGGTGTGCCTGCGTCTGTGCTCTGGGGGACAGGCCAGGCCTTCAGCCTGCAATGAGTTTTACTCCTGCAACCGTGTCTGGGTCGTTTCCCTCGCTTCATTATTAGTGAGACTGAAAACAGTTTTCCATCATTTTGGCCAAAATTATATTACCTCCACCTCAAATTGTAAACGCCCTTTGCCTGTGCTTCTATCGGGTCCTAATGCTTTTCTTATCACATTTTATCATCTTTTAATATGTTATCTGTCTGCCACCTTTGTAAAAAACAAATATATATAATAAATATATTACATATATTTTATAATAAAAATATTGTGTTTATATTTAATAATAAATATATATATTTATCTGTCTTCTGAGACCAGCAGATGGCATAATGGTTATATTGCTGGACTCTCACATAGTTGACCGTGGTTCGAGTCCTGGACCCAGCAGCTTAAAACTCACCCCAGGCACATGTATATGCATGCCCAAGACCCCGAGAGGAGAATGGAGGAGAAGGAATTGCAGCGTGGCCATCCCTCCAGGGAATGATTTCTTGTTTTCTGTCTTTCTCTCTGTCGAGTGCACATGCCCTGTGGCAAAAATCTCTCTAAAAAAAGAAAAAAATCTGTCTTCTAACTTACCACTGACCATTTAATGTTAGGCTATTTTACAGTTATAAGCTTTAAATCCTTGTGCACGAGTACCCATTGTTCCCTTTGTGACTGCGGAGTGACTGTTGTGTTTGGAAGGTCACTGTCATTCTCAGTTGGAAGGCACCTCGCACCTGCGTGGGCCAGTGTTCCGAAAGCTGTACGTGGTGCCGGAGCCTGAGGGACGCTCCTGCTGGCTCCATTGTCTTCCCCCCATAGCCCAGTGCAGTAGGAACTCTCCCTTTCACACGTAAGCCCCTGAGTCCTGGGTTAGCCCAGCGCCCCAGAAGGCCAGCGTGATCGTCCTCACTCCCCAGGCTGTGCCTCAGCACCCCGTCTGGCCCTGGGAGGGCATTGTCAGTTACTGTCTCCTCCATGGGAATCATGGGGCCAAATAACATTCATGAAAGGACGGCCTGGAGCACCAGGTGAGGAGGCGGACAGCACCCTGTGTGTGCGTGTGTGTGTGTGTGTGTGTGTGTGTGTGTGTGTGGGTGGGAGGGGTGGTTTCAGACTGACCTCAAGGAGATGAATCGGGCCCCAGGTCTGGGAAGTTGCAGACACAAGTGTGATAGTTCCGCCTTTTGCACTCTTAACATTCTGGTTATAAGCAGCCGACTCTGGGGTCCTTGGATCCAGGTACGAAGTCTTAGTCACCTCCAGGGCAGGAGTGGGACTCCAGGAGACTTGGGTAGGAGGCCTAGAACTAGCCCCCAGTCCCCAAACCTGCCCTGGCTCTCCACTCACCCTAAGATGCCCACCTCTCCTCCCATGAGCACCCTTTGCTCCCACACAGTGGGCACGTGTGTCCTCGGCTCCAGAGAGGACACAGCAGGAGACAGAGGGCCACTCACACTGGGTGCTCTGAGGACGGCTTAGTACAGGGACTACGCTCAGAGGGATGAGGGCCAAACCAGGTACGGGACCACAGGTTTAAAGGGATCTGGGTGCTGAAACCTGCCAGCCTGGCACCCACCTCCCTTCTCTGCCCTCCTCTCCCTCTTACCCCCACCAGCAGTCCCCAGGGCCTGCCCGCGGGGAGAAGGGGAGAGAGGAGGGGGTTACTCTGTTCACCAACCCGCCATCCCTCCCACCAGCCTTCTAGATGCTCTTCTCTCTGCCTGGGAAACCTCCCATCTGTTCTTCCTCACATCCTCAGTTATTATCAATTAAAAATAAGATAAAACCTTAAAAATACATAGATAAATAAAGATAATCTACGTTGCTTGTCGAGTAGCTTTTTAGTGAAAGACTGCCTTTAAGGTATTCTTAATTATAAGTCAGTCGGCAGAGTCCTTTATGTGAGCTAATTATTCCTCCCCCGTGGGTCATGTTAACAGGTTAATTATTACAAGGTTTCTGAGTAAAATTAACCCCCTTGGATAAACAGCTTCTCATCTTTGGTCAACACTTTCCACAAGCGTTTTGGCAAATACAGCTTCCCTGTAACAAAAGCGCGTGGCGGGTGGACTTGCAAAGGGACGCGTTCTAGCGCTCTAGGAGAGGCGACTGTTCCGCGTGAGACTCAGGCGAGGCCGGATTTTTGTCAAGACTTGGAAGAGGGGCAGACTGAAGCCGAGTGTGGTGGAAAGTGGTGTGCAAATAGTTGTGACTTCTGGATGTAAATGGCCGAATTGCTGCGTCCTCTCGGATGTTAAGATGGGCAGCGCTGCAGTCTTTCATGGACCCTTCAGAAGAATCCTTGTGGCCTCTGGTTTCACTCTGACCCTGTCCAGTGGAACACAGATCGGTTCCACACTGGTTGTCAACATTCTCAGGCCTGTGTCCTAGTCTGTGAAATACTGGGCGGTCAGAAAAGTCATGACACATTTTTGCACAGAAAAACAGAAAAAAGTCACGACTTTCCCAGCAACCTAATAGGAACCGTAACGGGGTCTAATAATAATGGGATCTTCAAAAAGTTCATGAAATGTAAGTTATGAAAACCCTATGCATGGATTTTGACCTTTTGGCACCAAAATAAATTTGTATTTTTAATTCCATTTTTCCATGAACTCTTTGAAGTCCCTCATGCCAGCCTCATAAAATTGATTCATGGCTTAAAGAAGAAAACAAACATGAAGCACCTAGCCTAGTGTCTACCGTGTTATGCTCAGCAAGCATTGGCCACTACTGTGATCTGCCCGGTTGTGGGAACGAAGACTCAAAGGTTAGGACAGGTGTGGGGACAGATGTAACCATGGACCAGACTTCAGGTGATGGCCAGGCAGGCCCTCGTGCACCTGCTCTGCCACATGAACAGGCCTTGCTTTCCATTCTGTTCCCTCTGCATGTCAAAGGGGACACGGCAACTCAGGTTGGGCAAGGTCAGGCACCTTCTGCCACCACTGCTTGCTATGCTCCCAGCCCCCACTAACCATAGACTTCCCATGGGGCCTGGGGTGACCCCATCCCTCCTCCTCAGTGCTCCAGGTAGAAAACTTGGAGCTGGTCTGTGAGCCGGAGCCACGTGCCACCCCTAGACTTGACCACCTTCCAGCCACAGGGCCCATCTTCTTGAGTGGGTAGGTGGGGAAACAATTGCACTGCATGTTTTCTCACGCTTTGTCTCCTTCATTTATTTATTTATTTGTCAGAAGACATGTGTGCTTGCCAGAGAGAAGGAGAGACAGCACTCTCGTGGGGCATGGTCCTCTGCCATCCCTTCTCCTCCAGTTCGCCATCCTTTCGGGATTAGGGGGCATACATGCACATACACCTGGTGTGCATCAAGCCACTGGGACCAGGATTTGAACTATGCAGTCAGCCATGTGGGATCCAGCTCCCTCAACCAGTAGGCCACAGGGCCAACCCTTTTGCATCCTTTTTTTCTTTTTTTAAATTTTTTTATTTCATTTTCTTTTATACATTCAGTAATGTTATTTATCTTACAAAGTGAATATTCCAACATGTGAACATTTCTCCCTAGTCCAATTGATAAAACTATAAAATTATCTTCAACAGATAATACCACATTCCTTTGTCCCATTAATACTTTGCCTCTCTATTTTTCTTCTAAATGTCCTTCCTCAGACTCTACTCTTTCACACACACTATATCTGGTATTCACATCAATTTACTGTATTTCTGTATCCTTTAGTCAATCAGTTTCAGTCATAGAGTGCGGACACTTGGTTTATATTAAGTGGGGACATACAATGTTTCTCCTTCATAGCCTGGCTTGCTTCACTCAGCAGTAAATCTTCCATATTCTTCCACTTCTGTCAAAAGCCAGGGTCTTGGTGTTTTTTATGACTGAATAGTATTCCATAGAGTATATGTGCCACAGTTTTTTAATCCATTGTCTGTTCGTGGGCATTTGGGTTGGTTCCATGTCTTAGCAATTGTGAATAGTGCTGCAATAAACATGGGTCCTTTTTAAAGGGGAACGATCTCACAACCCTTAGCTAGAATCACTTCCTAGCGGCACCCAAAGATGCTGGGTCCAGAGGTATCCTGTCTGTCTGACCCTGTGCGCCTTGCTCTGACCTGCTACTCCTCCCCTTGGGTAAGATCAAGGAGAACTTTGCACGGGGTTGCAGTGCTCTAAAGGACTGTGCTCATCCGTACAAGACTTGTTGAGAACGGATTTTGTCGTTGCGGTGATTGCTGGCATCAGTGACTAAAAGAAGCAGGTGAAGTATGCTTTTATTTTGGGTTTCATTTTCTTTTCTTTTATCTTTTCAGGCTTCCAGAAGAGCATCTTAAAGCCATCCAGGATTACTTAAGCACTCAGCTCAATCTGGACTCTGAATTTGTGAAGACGGGCTCCAGCAGCCTTCCTCATCTGAAGAAACTGACCGCGCTGCTCTGCAAAGAGCTCTATGGGTAATGACTGGCCCCTGGGCCGCTCGTTAGGGTGACCCCTGTGCTTGCTGCTGTCCACACGGCTCCTCTGCACTCACAGTAATTGGGCAGTCGGCAGAGCTCAGGGACTTCAGTGGTTGATTGGACCTTTTGTTCTCATGGTATTCGAACCAGAGCTTGGTTTTTCGTCTTTGTGTTTGTTCGCCTAAAGTTAATTTGAGGCCAGTTGCTCTAGACAGGAGCTAGGGGTGGGTGAACAAGGCCAACCCTTTCTCACTCGCTCAAGAGCTGGCGATGAAGACTTCGCTGTCTCTCTCCCTCTTGCAGAGCTGGCTTATTTGACAAGGGCTCCCACCAGAAGGAGATAAATTAGAGCCAATCTTTTTCCTGTGTGGGTGGTGAGGACCCAAGATTGCCAGCAACGGCAGTTTATTCGAGTTTTTTAAAGTGGTCTCGTTCACCATTTCAGTTTTCCAATATTGAGTGCATTGACTCACCACTAATCTTTTAGATTCCTTCAACTTTATTTTTTATATTGGTTTCCAGCTTAATTATGTCTTCAAGGTTCAAAATGCAAAAGTAAGGGACCAGCAGTTAGTATAATGGCTATGTCGCTGGACTCCCACGTAGCCAACCGCGGTTCGCGTCCCGGACCCGGCGGTTTAAAACACACCGGGCGCATGTGTGCACGTGCCCAAGATCCCAAGAGGAGAATGGAGGAGAAGGGATTGCGGCATGGCCATCCCCCCTTGGGGGTGATTTCTCACTTTCTGTCTCTCTGTCTCTCTCTGTCTGTCTGGCGAACGCACGCGCCCTATAGCAAAAACCTCTCAAAAAAAAAACAAAAATGCAAAAGTAAGGCTGACATGCCATCTGAAGAATTAGCAAAGAATATTTGAAATGCTTAAAGCTTGGGAAAAAAAGAATCATGTTCCGAAACATCTGAAGGAAATCCCAGGGGGCCCAAACAGTCCTGTGACCAGTGAGAGGTCAACATTTGAGTGAGAAACGAGCATTTTATGTGAGGGGAGCTTTTCAGCGAGGTTGTTCTGCTTTCTTCCACATGTGGCACTTCAGGGTTCTCCCGTCTTTCTTTTCGCCGGGCGCTGGATCAGTCTTCGTCTAGTTAATATGCAGAAGACAATCTCCCATCATCATGACTCCAGTTCGGCTTTCCCTTCAAAGGCTTTTAAAAGCACAATCAGTACATTTGGTAAATTTAACAAATAATTTCTTAGACAAATTGAGCACCCATCAAATTGGCCAGTTGGGGTTCATGTCAATGCATCGGGGTTCTGTCAATGCAACGCGGTTCTAGCCAGTGGTCCTGCAGCCACCATTGCTCTAGACTCCACAGAGGGATTTGGTTCCACGTGTTGTTATAAATCACATCACTCGAGGAAAACACACCAAGCTGCAGTTTCTTCTTAGGAAACACCATTTCGTCTTGGCTCATAGTAAGTTTTCTTTCTTGTTCGACGGAGTCTGTTCTTTTCTACTTCCTTGTCGAGGAGGAAATATATTTTTGAGCCTCTCTGCCTGGCTTCCCCAGACTTTCCCCAGACACGCGGGCTCCTTGGCAGCTTCTACCAGCACTGCACCACCATCATTTGCAAAGGAGATGAAAAGTTTGCACAAACAGAAATACAGAAGAAGTCAACCAGGACCAGGTCACTTTGTTGCCATAGTGACAGCAACTTCCTCACCTTTCCTCTTTCCCCGGTGCCTGGTGAGGTGAGGAAAGTTCCCTGAAGGCTCTAGCTGTTCTGTCTGCTGCTAAGTTCACGTCAGCATTAGCGACACCGGTGTGTTCCAGATCCGGCACGCTTGTCTTCTCTTTCGCAGGTGGACTGAGAGGCAACGTTGGCAACTTGGTTGACTGAGGGATGGAATTCTAGAACATCTTAGGAACAAACAGATGTCTCCTATCCTCCCCTCTGCAACCCATTGTTGGCCAACTGTTTTGATTGGTACCAAGAAGGGCTTTTGGCATAACCACCCTCCGTGGGGTGCTGTCTTGCTTTCTCTCTGTCTCTGTCTCCTGTGTGTGCATACATCCTCTGGCAATTTTATTTTAATTAGAAATGACAGTTTAAACAAAGTCTCACTGTGCCAAGGGATGGATAGGGCAGCTCTGGGGAAAAGAGGATGGAAACCCAGCCCGGCTGCCTGGTGCTTCCCTCTCTCTCCTCTCAGACACCTGCCCACCCCGTCCTTGGTCTCACCTCCTACCTGCACCCCTGGGACTCCAGGGAGTCAAAGCTGGCCTTGAAACCCTAGAAGGTGTGAATCCCCAAATGGGGCGTTACCTAGCACAGGGGAGAGCTCCGGATTTTTAGATGAACAGAAGAAATGGAGCCTGAAAACAAACCCTACCCTCTGCAAGTTCTCACAGTGAGAGGGCCATGGGGAACAAATAAGACCGAAACTGAATAGTGAACAGGGAGACAGTGAACTCAGTCCCACCGCATCCTGGAACAGATTCTGGATGAGGGGAGGAATCAAAGCTATGTACCAGCAACAATCCCTCGATCTGCATCATCCTAAATGAGGAAACAACCTAAATGAGCAAAATAATTGCTTCCTGATTACTGCTAGAGATGCATTGTTTTACTGCAGTAAGCCCAAAATCACCAAGAAAAAAAGGGAAAATAATTGTTCCAGCGGAGCCCCACATCTGAGGGGGCTTGCCCATAATGTTTGCTGGTGCCAAAGAACACACCCAGAGGTCCAGCGGGAGAAAACTGAGTTCACTTACACTGGGTAAATAAGATTCCGCCGATGGCGAGCCAAGCGTGGTCCCTGCAGCCATAGAAAGGAGCTCAGATTGTACAAGGAGGAAGCATTCATAAACCAGGGAGAGGTCGATGCAGAGTCCCTGTCGCCAAGGTAGGCATCTGGTTTGTACACACATGGCTTGAGGGCGACAGTAAAGGTTAGCTAGTGGACAGCAGAGTCGGCAGGTCTGTCTAGGGCTTAGCATCCCTGACTTGGTGATGTTCATGTGGGATTTCTCTGGAATGGCCCCAGCCACGGGCCAGTTCCTTGAATGAAGGTCCCAGTCACAAGATGTTCAGGTCATGGTCACAAGAGATTCGAGACCAGCAGCCAGGTCTCAGGGAGATAGAGCAAAGAGGGAGGGGAGGGAAGCTTCGTGCATAGCATTGATTCTCAGTGATAAAAACAGTGACATATCACTTCGCGATGAAATTCAGCTCGCCTAGAATGAAAATACCCTACTAGGAGAAAAAGTGCAACACCTAGATTAAATAAAAGGCAAACCAATATGTAAAGTTCATGCCAATATATAAAAACACTAATAAAACTCTCAACTGAAAATTTACAAAGGAGATGAAAAGTTTGTACAAACAGAAATACAGAAGCAGTCAACCAGAAATGAACAGTAGAAGAATATTTGATGATATCAAAAATTAAAGATGTGCAAATGCACTCATCAGTCCTGAAGGGTAGTGTTGCACTCACGTGGGAGAGAGGTCCAGTCACGGTGGCACAAATGGCGGGGTGCCACTGCGTGGGGCTGGACCATATCAGAGACCCAGGTGCTGACCACCGTAAACCCGAGCAGGCTGAGCGCGGCAGCACAGCCCGGGCTGAGTAGGAGACTGCGGGCAGAGGGTGCCAGTGGGACCCGGTCAAATGAGAAAATGAACCCAAAACCTCACTCTCTGTCTCTCTGTCTCTCTCTCTTTATCTCATTAACAAAGAGAGAGTCGGGACCAGCAGATAGCATAATGGTTACATTGCAGGACTCCCATGTAATTGACCATGGTTCAAGTGCCAGCCTCAGCAGCTTAAAACTCATACCAGGCACTGGGACTAGCAGTTGGTATAATGGCTATGTTGCTGGACTCCCATGTAGTCGACTATGGTTCAAGTCCTGGACCTGGTGGCTTAAAGTACATGCCCAAGATCCCGAGAGGAGAATGAAGGAGAAGGGACTGTGGCGTGGCTATACCCCCTGGGGGGTGATTTCTTGCTTTTTGTCTCTCTTTCTCTCTCTATCTTTCCGGTGAGCACATGTGCCCCATAGGAAAAACCTCTCCCCCCCAAAAAAACCTCACAGGGCATGACCATCCCCCCCGGGGGCTGATTTCTCCCTTTCTATCTAGGAAAGAAAAATGGGATTTGCCTCACCTTCCTGGTGTCAGGCGCTGAGCGGGAAGAAGTCATTTTCATGGAGGGTTCAGTTGTAACTCCTAACAAGTTGTAATTAATGCGGCATGTGTCTTTCTCTATTTTCTTGGGGCTGTCCACTCATTATTAGTTATCTGCCTATCACATTTCTCTCTGTCGAGCTCAGCACGTACCCTCTAGCAAAAGTCTCTCTCAAAAAAAAAAAAAAAAAAAAAGC